TGTCATGCTAAGGTTGGTTTTGCAAGTCGAAAAGGACCTATGACTTGTTTTTTAAGACTTCAGGGAATTGCTGGCACTCACTGGTTTCACTGCACCAGATGCAGCGTGACCAGGAATCTACGCTGCATATGAAAAGGTCACTTACCCTGTTCAAGAGAAGAGATTCTAACACTTGTCAGCTTGAGTGATGGAGACTCTGCATGGAGAGCCATAATATTCATGTCAGGGAATTGCCAAGCCCATGCGGAAGTGTTGAAGATGGATGGCCTGGGGATATACTCCTGACACTTTAATACAGGGGGAGGAAACAGCACAAACATCTCATACAGAATTATAATCCATGAAAGGGCACTGGTGGCATAAATTAAAGGTAATCTAGCAGGCAAAGAGTTTAAGAGCTGAAGGGAAGCAGGCTGGGGGAAAGGAGGGATGCTGGAGGGATGCAGTCCCCAGCTGGGGTGGGAGTGGGGCAGGAGGGAGTGCCAGGCCAAAAACCCATCCACCTCCAGACTGCTTTGCAAAGAATATTTGCAGAGCCTGCACTTTGTGACTGAAATAGATTTGATTCTCAGCTTGCTGATGGTCACTGTGCAGCGATGAGACCTGTTGAGGTGAGGGGGACTGGGGCAGGTACCTCAGCCTCCAAGCAGATTGTCCCTGCCAGCCTGCAAGGAGAGGCATGTGGTGGTGATGACAGCATGAATTCACCATCAGAGCCATCCTGGCACTCTCTTCTGGGGGAGGGAGCAAAAGCAACAGCACAGATCCTGTTTCTGTGCTGGGTGACGTCCTCAGCCCGTCCTGGCAGCATGATGGGTCTGCACTGCTGCTGCCCAGGCAAACACAGCACCAGCCTGACTGGCTCCATGTGCTGGGGCTGCCCAAGGATGTGCCATCCATCCTTATCAACAGCAGGTTGGCACAGTGCATACCTGAACTTCACCTTCCTCCTCACAGAGCTGGAGGTGAGCTCCAAGGCCATGTGAATTGTGCTCATGTTCCTGCCTGAAGGGGAATTAGGCTGTGGGAGCATTTCCACCTGCTGGGAAGAAGAAACAAGAAGGAAACTGGTGGTTGCTGTTCCTGGTGAGGGTGCTGGGATGGGCACCTGGACAGCAGCACAGCCAAGAGGCAACTGGTAAAATGGTGATGGTTCTGAGTGAGATGGGAAGGATTGGGAAAGCCTGTGGGCTTAGCCTGGGCAATTACCATAGTATGAACACCCCAACACTGATCTTCTGTCACTCTATTAGTTGAGCAGGCACCTCTGACTTAAATCTGCCCTGGTCTATGGTATCACTAGAGCTGGACTATACTGTTTCATCATTTTGAAGGTGTTTGCCTTTTTCATTAAAAATGGACCATAAAGCAGTCTTTTCCCACAATAAAGGCACAAACACACTGCTGGGACAGTGATGTTAAACCTCCACAAAGGCAACAGTGACTTCAGGCCAATTTGAATGCTGTCCCCCAGGTTTATATCACAGAGGCTACTCTGTCCATGGCAGTGGCTGTTCAAAAGTGAAGGTGCTGCTCCAGGACTGTCCAAGCAGCTCCCCAGCCCAGCCTGAAGTGCCTTTGTGGGTGTCTCTGCTGCAGGGCATACCCAGCACCTCAGTGGAGCCTTTGGCCTCAAAAGGGACAAGCAATGCTGACAGCTCTTGGGGGACAGGCAGCAGGATTTGGGTCTGATTTCATACAGCACCTGTCCTAGATTAAGATTTTTACCTTTTTATTGTGATTAGAATCATGACTATTACAGTCCTGTTACAATGGGACAGGAGTCAGGTTCCTCCTCAAGGCTTTATAGAGTCAGCCCATCCCTTCCTCCAGGTGTGCAGTGAGTTATAGGTGGTTGGGATCAGTGGCCCAAATTGGAGTGGACTTTGGGTGCCCATGAGGAAACAGATGCAGGTTTGAAGACATCACTAGTCGCTGCAAATGCTCTTTGGCTGTGGATGGAGAAGGCTCCTTTATAAAGCAGCTGGTGGGAGGACTTTGCACTGTGTGTGCTTGTGTTTATTTTGAAAACTGGACTGCAGGAGTTTGCTGCCCAGGTAAAATCACAGCTGCAATGTTGAGCTCAGCCTGAGGGGTTTGGTACTGTGGCAGCCTTGGGGTTGGTTTGTTACCCTGTGCCCTGCTGTGCCCATGGTATTTCTGTGTGGGTTATTACAGAAAGCACAGCAGCAGGCAGGGGTGTTGGGGCTCCATGACAGTGCAGTGATGGATTAAGACAATCCTGAATTTCCATTGTTTTGTACTGAATGTAGTGAGAATTGATGACTGGTGTATCCAAGCAACAAGGGGGAGGATGAGGGAGCTTCAGCTTCTTCAGGACTGTAATATCTCTGGCAAGGTGCCACTCTAAGGCATAGAGTTGATTTTTGTATTTGTTCAGTCTCGGTATTGTCTCTGCAAGGTATAAAAAGAGAATGGAAATTTGTGTTATGGGATGGTACATAACTTTCTCTTGAGTTTGCTTCAATTTGTGTTTGGTCTCTGGCTGCTGTGTACAATATACTCATTGCTGTAGAGAGTCTGGGTGCCAGAAATGTAAATGGATTTTAAAAAGCAATTAGACAATTCAAGGAAGAACAGTTTCTCTCCAGCATTTACATGCAATGTGGTGATATGAATGCTGACTTGGCAAGGCCCTGGCAACGGGTCAGAGGGAATGGGAGGGCTTGTTGGGAAAAGGATTGGTTTCAGCAGTGGTATCTGCTCCTCTCTGCTCCCAGTTTCCCTGGATGGAGCCTGCATGGGACAGAGATCTGGTCTGGCACTATGGGAACCTGCAAACCTGTTGCTTCTTGTTTTCTACAGCAATGTTAGTTTGAAAAGATGCTGCAGAGAACTGGGTAAGATGACAGGCAGCATGTCCTGACAATTCCTGCTCATGGGAACCCTCATCTCCCAGGATTTACCTGTGCAGTTTCTTAACCCTGCTATCCATATACAGTAAGCAGGTTTTGATGTGTGCTTGGGAGTTATCCTGGTGAGATAGTTTTCCTCCTCTGAGTGCACATCAGCAGTGACTGTCCTGTGCTGTATACCCTTGTTCAGTGGGAATTTGGTGGTGTCCCATGCCCACAGCTCCTGGGGCTGTAGAGCACCATCTGGATAAGCAGAGCAAGCAGTACAAAGGGAGAGCCTGTTTTTCTTTTGTGCAGACAAGCCAGCCAGCTCAAGATGCAGGAAAGGGGTTTTGCTTGTCTGGTTTTATGATTTCCAGTTCAGCCTAAATTTTGCTGCGTTGCAAGTGCTGTTATGGCAATCTTGGTTTTTCTTTTGCTTTGGTGGAGAGGCCAATTAGTTATGGAAATTTTAGAAACAGCCACTCTGAAGGCAGCAAAAAAATCCCCCCAACTGATGGTGTCACCTTCCAGCTTTAATAAGACCCTGTTTGCATAAAATAAATGCATGGAAGTCACTTATACTTCCCAAATGTGTGTTTTGCCTCTTGAGCTCCCTGACCTGCCTCTCGTGTGTGTTGAGGCTGTGTCTGCACAAGGAGCATAGGAAGACCTGGATAAAATAGCATCAAAGCATTTGCAGTGTGGGCACAATGTGCCAGCAGAGCTGTAAGATGTTTCTTTCACTTGTTTCTCCTCCTCCTCCTTTGTCTGGAGAGCAAACCTGGTGGAGCATCCTTGGCCCTGCATCCTGGGTGCAGGTGGTGTCCTGAGGAGCAGGACCAGCCCTGGGCCAGCAGCAGTCAGTGTGTGTCCCCTCCTGCCCTCTGCACTGTGCTCCAGGGCTGTTGGCACCTGGAGCAGCAGGGAACCAGCAGACACATTCACAACTGTCCCCAAATTTTCTCTCCTGCCCCAGTTCAAAGGGTTCCTCTCGTGCCTCCAAGAAATTTGCAGTGAGTGCCGATGCTGATGCTTTCCACATCAAAGCAGGGCAGCCTCACATTGTCTGGGGGATGTCGGGTTGAGGCAAATTAAAGAGGCTTTGGGAGCTTCAAAATCAGCTTTAGCATACTCAGCTCTTGGAAAGGGTGAGATTAAGGTGATAGGTACTAAAGCCAACCCTCCAGGGACTGGAGGCTGGAGCCAACTTATCAGGATCCAGGAGAACAACCTTCTTGCTGGCTTTGGTGGCTTTTGGATTAATGCTGAGAGATTTGTGGAAGTTTACACAGAAAGGGATGACTTTGCACCTAAAGTCATATTGCGAGGGAGCCAGAAAGGAAAAAGCCAATTCTTTTCATTGTGGTGTTTATTGCAAAATACAGTTCAAAATCTAACTCTTTAGGGATACTTTCCAAATATAGAGTGAAAAGAGATTGTGCTAAGCAATAATAAAACTTATTAATAAACAACATTAGGCATAAAGAATTCTGAATCCTTATCTGCTAATTTATAACAGAGTATAGGAACTGTAAACTGCTTCATTAATTTCATCCAGTACAAATATACAAAGCTACTGTCTATTGGTGCCAAAACACAAAATTCAAAATACAAGAGGGGGGGGAAAAGGGTAGGGGAAGTCTGTAAACATTGGCTGTAAACTTCACAAAGCCCTCAAAAGGCTGCAGGTGTGGTAATACACACCACAACACCACTGAACCTCCTCTCATGCCTGAAAGTGCATAAGTTTTTCCTCTAGAAATGCTGCTGAGCAGGTGCTGTGCATGAAGAGCCTGGACCCAGAGCTGCCCCAGCTGTGATGGGATGGGGTCACCCTTCTGGCCCCACCTCGCTGGCCGAGGGGCTGGAGCCTCCCCGCTGGCTTTGGCAGACCTGCTGGCAGCAGCACAAGGGATTGAGCTCTCCTAGGCAGTTCAACTCTACCCTCTGTCCAGTACAGAGATAAAGTGACTCCCGACAAGAAGCTACTGGTGGATATTGAGGAGGAGCTGTGGGACTTTCCTCATCCCACCACATCCATCCACAGGAGACCCCATCACCTCGCGCCGTGCCCACGTAACCCTCCAGACCCCGGGGACGCTCCCAGTGTGAGACATCCTCCCGGGGCACCGTGGCTGCCTCCTATCTCCTGTGGGCCCTGCTCCTCTGCCTGACGTGGTTGGGGGTGGCAGCAGCATCGCGGCGGGTGCAGAAGTGCTTGGCCACCAGCGTCCGGCACTGCTCGCAGCGCACCGTGCAGCACCAGTGGAACTTGCAGTTGCAGCTGGTCACCACCTCCGTCCGTCGCTCCTCCACGCGGGGGCCACACTCGGGGCAGAGCCCCCGGGA